TGCTTCTAAGTGAAACGGTGAAATGGTTGCATGCTAGAGAACAGCTCTCTGTGCATGACCCTCTTCTCATAGACATCTTTTTTGGGTATGTAATGTGCACATGTTCAGTATGCCACTGAGCAAACACTGTAATGGCAGAATCCTGAAGAAATACTTCTCCAGAGCACACTGGCCTCTGCCTATGAGAAGAATCAATTTTAGCTACATTTGAAAAGAGGAATCTCAATTTTTTTGTTAGTGTGAATGTTCAAGCAGGCTCTGATATCTACTTGCTTAACTTGCTGTTTTGCCAACTGTTACAGGGAGCGTCATCAAAGAGACAGATGGAGAACTTGTTTTGATGATGAATAGCAGTGCTGGCTTTGACTTGTCTTGGGGAAGGTGTGCAGTGTGGGAGTATTGTTCAGCTCTGTCCTCCCTTGAAAGCAAAATGTCTGAACAAAGCAGTGGCATTGGAGTAGTGTTTGTGCTTGGTCTATGCCAGTTCTGTTGCTCAGGTGAAGACAGATGTTTGTTTCAGGAGCCGTATTGTTCATCTTGCAAAATCTAACCTTCATTTAGTATGCTGCTCCATTCCATTTACCTTCCCTGATCTCCTATTAAAAAAAAAAAGCATGACAAGAACAAAAATAAAAACAAACTGTTTCGACACTGCAAGGAACATTTTACTCAGAGATACATGTGTTAGCGTATAATGGAATCAAATGCAATATATGTTTATTTAATCACAGAAATTTAAATGTGTGTATATGGAGCATTAATTTATGTATCTACAAAGTGCAAAAGTAGCAAATTACAATATTTCCATGCTACTTGGTGTAGGATTGTGCCTCAGCTCTAATCACTATCATTGATTATGTAATCATCATCGTATGAATGTTCTAAAAGGCTTTGGTTTTAGATCATATGTGTAAGTCAAAAGGAAATGAAGTTGAAAATAGGATTCTGAGGGGGAAAGTGTATCTCAAAACTAGGAATACAGAAAATAATGTTAAGTGCTGGCTGGAGGGCATCAACATACCTGCCAGTCAAAAGAGGTAATTATCCCACTGTGTTTAGCACTGATGTGGCCTCATTTTGAGTATTGTTAAAGTCCCTGAACCCTTCCAGAGAAGGGCAGCAGGACCAATAAGAAAGGCTTATTTCTTGTGAGGACAGGCTGAGGTGTCCCATCTGGAGAAAAGGAGGCCTCATTGCTTTTTGCAGTTCCCTTAGGAAGGGAAGCAAAGTGAAAGGTGAGGCTTTACCCTTTCCTTGCAAGCGTGGTACAACACATGAAAATGGCAATGAACTGCACCAGAGGAGAATCAGACTGAACCAGGGAAAAACATCTTTTCCCTGAAGGCGATCAAACACTGGAACAGGCTTCCCACCCACCTAAGGGTGGTTGATGCCCCATGAAGTCAGTTTTCAAGGGGATCTGAGTAATGCCTTAAAAATATGCTTTAAGTCTTGGTTAGCCCCAAAGTGATCAGGCAGCTGGATTTGATCTCTGAAGGTCCTTAACTATTCCTTTTTTTTTTTTTTTTTTTTTTTTTTCTCCCTATTTTTATCCTGTTCTTGCACAAAAGTAATTATGCTAACTGCTTGCATGGAGTTTCCAGCCAATAGATAAATGTTATGGTTATTTGTTGTCTACAAGCTGACTGATTTATCCCTTCCCAGCATCTATGCGTGCAGTGATTATGACTTCATTACACTGTGTAAAATATCGTAGGCAATGCATAAGTGTGCTGGGCTTTAAAGCTAGACCTTCCTAAGAGGGGATAAGGATCCATTTCCAGCTTCACAACTCCAGCTTCACAACAAAATTCCTGCCTGGGATCTGTCTGGACGCACAATCATAGAAGGCTGAAAAAGACCTCTAAAATCACTCAGTCCAACCATTGGTCCATCACACCATGCCCACTGCCCATGTCCATCAGTGCTACATCCGCATGGCTCTTGAACACCTCCAAGGACGGTGACTCTACTACTTCCCTGAGCAGCCTATGCCTCACTGTTCTTTCTGAGAAGAATTTTTTGCTAATGTCCAAATGAAATCCCCTCTGGTGCACTTTGAGACCATTGCCTCTCATTCTCAGTGATCTCCTCCTGCTCAGAGACTATTAAAAAATAAATAAAAAATAAATTCCTTCCTTCCCTGGCTACCCCCAAAGGCTTTTGAGAAGCATGTGGGTAGGGGCACAACTCTATGCCTAGGATTCTGTGGGGCTACTAGGAGTTCAGCATGGGGACATGCAAGTTTTATTGCAAAAACTGGGTCAATTGGGTCTTCCCAGGGAAAGTAGGTAACACATGAATGATCTCTCCTCACAGGGCAGAAGGCCTGCTGACGCAGTAAACATAGCCTCAGGGCTTAGTGGTCAATCACCTTTTCTTTTGCCGAATTTTCTGTTTCTGAGGAACTGTTTGTTTGAATGTTTGTTCATTTAGAAATTTTCCATCCAGATATGTTATGTCTTGATAGGAATTGCTCAGAAATGAAGTTAAAGCACATTGTCTGAATCTTGTCAGCAGTTGCTGCTTTGCCAAAAACACTCACAAAAGGCACTGGCTTGATTTCTTTGTGCCTAATGGTTCTTGTGGTTGATGACTCCAGCCAGACAGATTATATATGCTTGATAAGAGCTCTGCTGAAGGCCTACTTTGTTCTAAAAAAGTAAACATTCCCACATTGCATGTTTCACTGGGCTGGTGCAGATGAACACTATTTTTCCCTCTCTTTATTCTTCCAGCTCTCAGCTGGATAAAGCTGTTCCATGAGCATGAACAGCAATTTAGCAGGCAGGTCTGCCTCATGAATGGACCGAACATTTAAATCCACTAAACATAAACAAAACCTTGAAGTTAAACAGTTGCGTGGGATGATGTCAGGAGTTTATGGGACCTTCCTGGAGTGCTGGCTCCTGGCCACTTTGTACAGAAAGACTCAGTAAATTTCACCAGAAGGGACTATAAATTTCTGGCCAGTGGCCAGACCTCTTGACTGGTTCAGAAGATTGGCAGCCATGACAGAACTGGATTTTCCTCATAATTCTGATAAGAGAATTCATTAATGTATTTTTAATTAAAGAGCAACTTCCTGAGCTGCAGCTAGTGCCAGGTGTACACAGAGACATCAGAATATATGCAGAAAGTGAAGAAGCACTTCAAGAAGACAATGTCTGTAATAGAAGTTTTGGTGATTTGCTAATATGGAGCCTCTCGAGGCCTGGTTGGATGGAACCTTGGGCAACCTGATGGTGAGTGGCAGCCCTGCCCATGGCAGAGATGGGGTTGAGTGGGCTTTGGGGTCCGTTCCACCCAAAATGACTGTGCTTCCAGTGTTGCTGATATTTTGTCATACTGATCTGAGCTGGCTGTCTAAGGATGTGTCCAATATAAATTGATAAAAGTGCTTTGAGTTCGCCTTGTTCTAAAGGCAGCTACAGTGCTCTGGAAGAAGTTCAGACTTTTTGTCTCCCTTCTTTCATGTCTTTTTAATTTATCAATAGCCATAGATATGAGAAGAATCATCTTGGCGTTTTGCAAAAGCAGTTTGCACTAAGGTTTTCTGATGTAATATGAGCAGTGAGTAAAAGTGGCTAGAGACACGGTTGTTGAAATGGAAAAAAGGAAAATATTTTTCAGTCTTCAGCTCACACAAATTTAAAGATTTAAATAAAAAATCTAACTACTCTAAGGATGGATTTAGATTGCTCAGTAGCAATGTATGTTTTCTCTCGGGGCTTTCCATTTGTGGTTTACCAGCCATCCCACAGTGAAAGCCTTTCGCTTTTCTGTGAAAGTCCATTTCTTCAAGTCTTCCCACAGCACAACAGAAGCGATGCTTTTCTGTGCAAGGTGTTTAAGTTGCTTGGGAGGTAGGATTCGTGTGTGCTGATGCCTTTAACGGAAGGAAATAAAATGATGTTGATGTTCAAGTGCAACACCAGCTTGGGACAGTGAAGCGAGGGTTTTGGTTCTAGAAGTGGGAGTGATCATTGTGTCTTGGCTCTGTTAGGGGTTCCTAAGGTGGGTGAGCAAAGGATGTGTCAGCCAGCCCAGGCTTTGTGCTATTTTTGAGCTACTGCACAGCTTTTGCTCCACTTGCTCTACACCTTGAACAAGATGTAGCAAAAGCTTGCAGAGCTTCTGTGTTTCATCAGCCTCTTCTTATCTGAGGGCTTTGGAAAGGACCACTTGCATGCCTAGAGGAGTTCAGTTGATAGTGTCTTAGCTGAAGCATCGTTCTGTTGTAGCTTGTCTTGACTGTGTTGATAGACTTAGTGAAACATAAAGAAGAATTAATAGGCTTTTATTTATAATATAAACATAGTATGTGATGACAAGCTGTTATTACAGAATTTCCGAGTAACAAACAGCTGTCATCTTGGATTTTCTTGCCTCCAAAAACAGCTGGAGACTTAAACCAGTTGAAAGTATGGATTTTGCAAGAGCAAGCTGTTGTTCTTAGATGTATTCACTATGTGTCATGAAGTAAAGCCAAAAGTAAGAACTTCTCTGATCTAAATTTTCTCAACAGCATACTGTGGAGTGATTGCTAGGTCACCCCTTACATCTCTGAAGCAGTATGATTTTTTGTACTGGTAGAAAACGAAGGAGGAAAATTGTTTTTATAGAAGGCTTCTGTCAGTTACGTTGGCACTAAAAAGGTTACCCAAAACAACTTCACAGGATAGAGAGTGAGAAAATGGCTCACTGAACCACCAGGAAATGGTTGCCCCTCACATCTGTGCAGGTGGCAGTCACATTTCAAATGTGTTTGTGAGCTTGCTTTCTGTCTTCAGCAAACACTGAATAGATTTTTGCCTGAAGATTAAATATGGGCTCAGAAGATTTCAAACACTTAGATTAATGGACAAGCGAGAAAAAGTGGATGCTTAAGATTAATGGCATGCTGTAAGTCTACTTAATCTGAAACATATTGTGAGCTAAATGTCCTGCCTGGTAGGGTATGTTATGGTTGTGAATAGGAATGAAAGATATGGCAAAAATGGAATTAATAAATAAAAGAACAGCTTTTTTTTTTTTTTTTTTTTTTTTTTTAGTAATAAAAGAACAGACATTAAAAGTTAACAAATATATAATGCTTTTCTAACATGAATAGACAAAATGTCTTTAAAACATTATCGTACACAGATACTTGCAGACAGGAGACATGAACAATTATTTAGTTATAGCTTGGACCTTTTTTAAAAATTTTTCTATCCTACTCAAACCAGGGAGTGAGCTCAGATTGCATCAAGTGAGAGCTGTACTTTTCCTTCCCTTGAGTGTTCCAAAGGCTGAGCCCATGAGACTCCTACCTAATACAGACAGTGCAGTTAGCCAACTCTGAGCCCACATAGGGTATTGTTTCAACAGAAGGTGTCACCAAATGGGTTTTGCACAAAGAGGGAAAAAGATAATTTTTTTTTTTTTTGCTTCATTAGGATTTGAAAGCTGATCTTGATTTAAAACAAGCAGAAACTTCCTAACCTGTGGTTGACACTGGACAGCCTTCTCTATGTGGAGCTAGGACAAACCAGGCTGTGACTGCAGAAATAGTAGAATTTTAGTCTAGCAACTGCTGCAGGAGTTTTTCCTGGACTCAGTATTAAAATCATTACCACTACCCACCCCAACAGAGAAGGACTAATATTGATTTATTCTCCTCCAAAATTTTAGGCTATCAGTCACACTTACTGTTTGCTATCTTCATCTATCTGCTCCAGCTCAGTCGGAGCTGAACAAGTAAGGCACAGGCAATGGCATGTGGAAGAAAATGCTTCACTTTTCTTCCCTTTCTTTCCTTTAGCCATCAACATGACAAGAACATTCATGGTTAACATATTGATTGCTTTGCACTCCTTTTTCTTTCGTGAAAGGATGAGACAAGAAGCATTTAAAAAAAAAAAAAAAAAATCAGTTCAAAACTCTCCCTGGGTGCTGCTGGCTTTAAATAAAGACAAGCTGAACTGAACAGAGCCTGAATATGGATTTCTCGTTTCATCCAGGCAGAGATATGTTGAGGTAACCCTACATCAGAGCACTGTTTTTGATCTGTTTTCCACAGTAAGCACCAGCTTCTGTAGCAAGTTGAAGTCTCCTTTTTGGTAGAATATTCAGTAACTAATGCAATTTTAATATCAAGTGCCTTTAAAGGAGATTTATTTTTGTTTACACATTCAGTGCTTAACCCAGCCACGGCAAAACCTATTTTATTGGGATCAGATGAAGATAGTCTAGCTCATTCTGTATGTAACAACATGTAGCTGGTGAAACCAACAACAGAATGTACTGTAGATAGAGAGAGGTGGAAAAAGTTACAAATCTCACTTCGTAGAAAGTCCTTCAGTTTTCTTTTCCTCCCATTTTTAGCTGCCTTTTCACATTCACTGTCAGCGTAAGAAGGAAACAGAACTTCCCATGCTCCTGAAACATGGCCACTCAAAACAAATTCCTCAGTGGTGATGGCGAGAGACTCTAGAACAGAGTAGCTAAGTGCGAGGCTCACTGCTCTTCCCCAGCATAAGAGCTCAAGACACTGGCAGCTATCACAGAAAACCATCTGAAGAAGTTAGCAGGTGTTGAGACACAGCTCCTGGTCAGAACAGGAATCCAATGGATTTTGGTTTTTCTTCTGTTGAAGAAGCTTTTTGCCATCAATCTTGGCACACTCTGCAGACACCTGTCGCTTGTATTACAAGCAATGCTGCTGCTGGGACAAGGGGTGATGCTCCTCTTGATGCACATCCAGCTGCCTAAGTTGTTGGCAGACATTCCTATTAGATAGGTGCTGTAAAAACAAAATTACTGATTTTTAGAAAAAAAAAAAAGTTAAACAACAACAACAAAAGCCCACATAAATAATCATCTCCTAGTGTTATTTTTCCTTTATAATTGGTGGAATGAGCTGAAAAGAAAGAAAGGGATGTCAGTGGCATTTTTGGTTTCTTTTAAGATAATCTCAGATAAAGAGATCATGGAATATCCCTAGTTGGTAGGAACCCAGAAGAATCATCAAGTCCTACTCTTGGTTCCACCCAGGACCATCCAAAAATCAGATGGGCTATATGTAGTCAAAAGAAACTAGCTTCCTAAGGCAGCTCTACAGGCAGTGGAGGGATCTCTCTGGACACAAGTCAGAACAGCAGTTTTGGATCCAGGTTTGAATTTCTCCTGAGTGGAACATCTTGCCCCACCAACTACAATGCACAGCTGGAGAGACTAAATCCTATGGAGATGAAGTTAGGCTTCTTTGCATCTTCCTCTCATTTCCAAAATCTTTTTCTTTCTAATAGCAGCTAGTCTCAGTAGATGATTCTTGTTCTTGCAGTATTCAGGATTCCACCTCCCAAAGCAATCTGATCTTCATAGTCAAATCACCAGTAGCAGAAACATACCAGTGTTGAAAAGCAGAATGCCATGGCAGAGCTTCCTGGTGGGTGCAACCTCTGTAGTGCCTTACTCCCTATCACACAGTGTGCTTGAAAATCTCTGGTGACAGTTGAATTGTGATGGAATTTCTCCAAGAGACAATCTTCTTGCCCCAATGATGCACCAGGTACTTCTAGGATATTTATCATGTTTTCTTTATTGTTTAAAGAAAAAAAAGGAAAAAAAAAAAAAAAAAAAAAAGGCCAACAGCATGCTGGTGTTGATGGAGACTTGGTAGCCTGTTGCAGTGCTCAACTATTTCCCTTAGGGAAGCTGTTTTCCTAACATGCATTTTAAATCTTCTTTGTTTAAATCCATTGTGCCTGAAAGCATGTTGACCATGGGGTTAGGACAATAAATAAATTGTCCTCTGTAAAGACTCTCCAAAGAAGATTGTTATTTTGTCTGTATGTTATTGTTTAGAGGGGAAACGGCAAGGACAACCGGTTTTTTTCATCAATGATCATTTCTCTGGTTTTGGTCTCAGTTGTCCCCAAATTGGGATGATCAAAAGACTTAGCACCCTCTTCCTTCAATGTCTTCCACAGCTTTGTTGGCAGAAAATTGCCCTTGGAGGTGTGACAGATTCTGATAGTAAGAAAATATAAAAGCTGCTGTCCCACTTCCTCTTCCACAAAGAGTACAGAGTTGTGCCAAGGAAAATACAGTGTTTACAAAGCGTCTTCATTTTGTTTTTATTAAACAAATTTTGCTATAGCAGCTTTCAATATAAAATAAATATTTACTTTTATTTATGTCAGGGTTTTTCTAGGTACGGGTAAGCCCAGAAACCTAATTGTGTAGGGCCTGGTATAAGTCAGAGGAGGAAAGGTTGATGTTTAACAAACTGCTAGGATTTATGCTAATGCAACACATAGGAATGAAGAAGAAATTGTTTCTTATCTGAAGAGATACAAGTAATCCTTCTTTCTACATGACCCTCTGTGGGAAACAGTGCAGTGTCTGTTGATATTTAGCAAACACAGCTTTTGTGAATCAGATTGTGACCGCATGATGGGCCTGCAAAACAACTGACCATTGATCCAGTTTGCACAACATTAGTTCTTGACATTTTTCTTTTTAAGGGTTATTTTGCTTCTGCTGGATACTATCAATTGGTGCATTCACTGCATCTGCTAATGCAGACTACGCTTTCTATTGTTTCAAATATTACAAGCTTTGGTAGAACCACAGTATATTGTGTCTGTTCTGAAAAGACTGTTAATAGTCATTTGTTTCACCAAAAATTACCAAATTAATAGGCAAATATTTCATGCCCTTTGTGCACTCACTAATTGGCTGTGCTGAGTTTGTTTTTCCAAATGTCTTGGATTTTTCAATTTTTTTTTTTTAACCCTTGCCATATATAATGAATTGTTAAACACGCTGTCATCTTGATTATGAAAATGTTGAAAGTCTGAACCTTGTTTTTCCTTGGAAATGAGTGCTTAGTATTTATTTGTTTGTTTGTTTTAATTGGCTGTGTACAGGCTCAAGTTCATAGACATAAAGTAAATTATTTGTCTGTGTAGCTAAGCAAAAGACTTTCAAGGATATGTTGCCTAGCAAAGCAGGGAACAACCCTTTTATCATGGGTATTGATATAATCAGTGGTCCTTGTTATCTGGGCGTGAGGAATCAGCATTTAAAACAATTTGTCAAGTTTTGCCACAGTATCTGTACAGCAGTTACAAAGTTGAGGGGGAGGGTGGTAAATGCTCTCTGGACTGCAAAATGGGCTGCATACTCTATTTCCTTACAGTCTAGGTCATTGTTTCAGGAAGGATAGATTTTTGGGCTTGAACTCCACTGCTCCATGTTTTGGAAAAGAGTTGCACAGCTCAACTTTTTGAAGGAAGAACGTGGCCTCTACCAGCTCCTGCAGGAGCTGGGCAAGAGCTTTTCCCCGCTTGACCCAGGTCTTCCCTGGAGATTTAGTCGCACAAATAAAGGGCCTCATTACCTGTGTATGACACTAGTTGAGAGGATCTCCGTCTCCGCAGCCAGCAGATTAACACAGTCAGAAAAGCCATCAGAATAACAACTGACACAACTGCAGCTGCTTGAGCACCTTGTCCGCTTTTTGCTGGGTCTTTATGACTTCCTGTGCTGGAATCATTGACTTGTCTAGATTTGTCTGTGTCTAGAATAAAATAGAAAGAGGATGCAATAAGCTGTAAATTTGCTCATTCATATCAGGCAATGATGTGACTATGTCTTACACACACACACACACACAAAAAAAAACCCTGAGGGACTAGTTATTTGTGTTATTCTTCTCACTGTGGTTATGAAGGTATTCCTTTTGAGCAAGGCCCATCTCTATCTTAGACAACTTGTTAATATAATCATACAGTGCCACTTCATCCCCCCCATTGTCATCATATTGCACACCTTCATTTTCATTCTTCCTTCCTGCCAATCTCAGGATACGGCATGCTAGAGCTGGGAAAGAAGGTGGTAGGAGCCAGAACTAAGAACTTCAAGGAGATTGAACAGCCACCTCAGGAGAAGTTCTACCACTCCAAATAGTTTATCTCCATAGCACAGCTACTCAGGGACTGTGACATTCACTATTGGCCTTGTAGCTGTAACCTTTTTAGAGCTTTTGTTTTTTAATAGTTTTCAAATTTTGTGAAAAATAGTGCCTAAATACTTGTGTTCCTCCTATTGGTTGCTAACATCAGCTGTAAATAGCCTATTGCACTTGTGATATTAGAAGTGTTGTTCTATTGGGATAATAGTAACTGTTAGCTACAGGCCTCCTTTAAGCAGTGCATTGAGTTGAGTTTTGGAGACTGAAAGCAGAACTTCAAAACTACACAAAGCGCAAAGCAAATATGAGTGCTACAAAGCCATCAGACAGAGAGTTCAGGTATTGCAGATCAACTGCATGGTAACATTTGAAGAGTAATCTAATGCAAGGAACCCAAAGGTAGAGTCTAGTGACTGCCTTGAAAAATAGAGCTACTCAGTACTATTGTCAGGACATACTCAATGGGGTGCTAGGCTTATTTTTGAAGAATAAATTCTATAGCTAAGAAGATAGGGAAAAGCTGAGCTTTCTTAGTGTTTTTCTTGGAACTACTGAATTTTTTTTTATGCCCTTGTTAGTGCATCTTTACAGACAGAGCCATGCTGATTGATATATCAGCTGTTTAGAAAACAGGAGTTGTGACAGAGGAACTTACAGTTGGCTGATGTGTTTTCCTGCAGTATTTTATTTTCTATGAAGCACTCTATTTGCATATCAGAAGTTGCTTTAACCTTCAGTGTGCTCAAAACACTGTAAGTGCCGTTGGGATGTTGGGTGATATTAAAACCTGACTGAGACAGGCGTGTGTTGTCTGTTCTATTTATCCAATAAACATTTGGTTCAGGGTATCCATTGTCAGATCTGCAGATGAAAGTCACCTCTTCTCCAGTGTTGTAACTGTTTCTTATAGGCCCACTGAGTATTGGTTGGCTGTAACTAGCTGGAGAGAAAGGGAAAAGGAAATGGCTGTCACAACTTTGAGATGTATTGGAAATATAGAATCTTGACACGAATTCTGGATCAGAAGCTCTGGGTTACATGAGACCCTCACAACTTGAAAGGAAAACATTTGTCGGGCTTGGTACATAAGCCAAAGTACTGTGAGAACTGCTGGGAAGGCAGAAAGCTGATGCCAATTTCAAAGGATGAAAGCAAGTTTCTAAACTACTGTGACCCAATTATCTGTTAGTGCATACCAATGACATATTCATCAATTTCAGAATAATGACTGTATGGTCTATTAATGACAAGTTGAGAAGAAACAAGCAAACAACACTGGATAAATGGTTGTTACAACTGTAGATTCTCTATCTGTAACATTTAAAATAAGTAAATTTCATTCCTGCAAAGTATTGAAGTAAAAAATAGAATATCCCAAGGTGGAAGGGACCCACAAAAGATACGTTTCCAACATTAGTACGTGCTTAAAGACACTAGGAAAATGGCACTAACTAAAACCAGTAGAATTAGAATTTGGGCAAACGCATGCAAGCAGTAACAGTTCTTACCTGCTAGGCTTAGAACCACTTGCTCCTGGTGAATCACTCTGGTATATTCAATTGTCTGCATCACTACACATCGGTATGTATGTTCATCGCTCTGTCTGACATTAAATAGTAGTAGAGAAAAATTGCCATCTCCTAGTTTATCCCATAATAACTGAGTCCTGTTTTTAAACTGACTGCATTGCAGACTTTCATTGTCTTGACCAGAGATCAGTGCATGCACTACTGAACATGGTTCTGTATCTTCATCATCAGCTATTTGCCAGTATACTCGCAGATTGTCTAAGCTGAATTCTCTTCCTGGATAAATGCAACTCAGTGTAACGTTGTCCCCAGGTTTACTGACGATCTTCTCCAGTGCAGTAACTGCAAAAATAAAAAGAGGGAGAATAAGGGGAATTTGCATGAAAAAAAGTTGTTTTTTTTCTTTTTTTTTTCTTTTTTTTTTTTTTTTTTTACGTACATTCTACCACAATTGAACTCAAAAGGGAATGGCCTTGTGTTGTACCAGGGTAGGCTTAGGTTGGATATTAGGAAATATTTCTTCTCTGAAAGATTGGTGATGCAGTGGCAGAGGCTGCCCAGGGAGGTGGTGGAGTCACCATCCCTGGAGGTGTTCAAGAGCCGTGTGGATGTGGCACTGAGGGATGTGGGCAGTGGGCACAGTGGCAGCAGACAGATGAGAGGACTAGACGATCTTAGTGGTCTTTTCCAACATTAATGATTTAATGATTCAGTGTCTCCAGTATTTGTATTCTAACAAGTGATGATGCTCACTTCAGTTGGTCCTTCTTGACCTGCTCCTCTTCATCAGTGGCTAATTCTATGCGTCTATTTGCCTATGTATTTTTCAAAGGGACCTTTTACAGTATAAAGCATTCTGCTTATTTATTCCTCCACGGTCAACTAGTCTAATTGTTCCCAGCCCCATGGCTGGAGGACAGTCAGACTAAACTGGCTGCAGACACATACTCAAATCCAAGTGCATCAATAGTCACTTTGTTTGAGTAAGAAAAATGCTGTAAGGAAATCATAAGGACTGGAAATACAGATAAGAGAGTGCTACTGCTATTTTTAGAACAAAATAAAAAAGGCAGGTGAAAAAAAAAACCAACAAACAACCAGGTGTGTCTCAAAGCGGACATATCTGTACTGTTAACGTTTTTTATTACCTACAGGCGTCACCCTCTGAACAAATAAACTACCATGACCATATACAGCTAGTGACACGTCCATTAGACACTTACAGCCCCTGAGAGCCACCTGAGATAGGACAGTACCATATTTGGTTCTCAGTGCACTTTTCCAGGCCTCTAGTAGGATAGATGAAGCTGCTTCTTCTGGTGAGTAAGTGGTTTCAGAATGAGCTCACCCACTTCTGAAGGGTTGGGCATCTGGCTTAAAAACAGTGCGGGGAGGAAAGCTGTGTCTGCTTCCAGGCGCATGACCTTTCCTGGGCACAGGGAGAAGCAGCAGGGTTGAATAGCAGCAGGGATGTTTCTCAGACCTGGGGAAACTCCTTGAAGAAGTAGGAAAAGTGATGCTGCAAAAAGCATTGCCTGGAGGCACCTCCTTTACTGGTCTTCTATAGGATGGGTCAGCCAGCATTCACTGAGACAAACTGGTACAGTTTGTCCTGTTTTGGGGGACACGAAGTTTCCTTGATGACATTACATGCTTCCTAGTCGTTAAGGAAGAATGGAGAGGCATCTCTAGAAATATTTAAATATCACCAGGTGACGTCCTTTAACCTTATCTTTATTCTGAAAGTGAAGTTTAGAAGTGTAGTAGATGATGTGCTAATTCTGGGCACTCGACACAGTAATGGATAATTAAGGCATATTATGAGCACTGACTTGATGTAAGCACATGAGATTGGTTATCAACATCCACTTCTAAGGACTTCTATGAGTGCTTAGACATAAATAAGTGGGGATGTCTGTGAAGCAAGCAGAGCAATTTGAGTAAAACTGCTAGTCTGTAGGAACTGCTAGTTCCTTGCTAGTCTGTATATGGAAACAGGCAGAAACTGATCTTCATTCCCTGATGTGTACCACAGGAACATCTCATTGAGGAATTCTCATGAGTTTGCTGAAAACATGCAGGTGTTTAAATTGTAATTCGCCTATTTGGCCAAGAACTTCGAAGAGGGCAAATTCATTTTAACTGAAGGGTTCTCAACTTACCAGCTCTCAGGATGTGAAGGAACAGTAACAGAAATCCGTAACTAAAAGAAAAAGAAAACAGAAATGTTACAAAATAGGTGTTAGTTTCTGGATTGTTTACACAAACGATAAGCATAATATTGATTGTTTCAGGAGTGTAGAAGTAGATAAATAAAGTAACAATGACAATTATGCAAATTCCCCTTAAAGTATTTGCATTTTTGACAGCTGCCAAACTTCTTGCAAACAACACAACCAGGGGTGGGTGGCTGAAGCCACAAATAGAAGCAAAATGCACTGATATTGGAATCCAGAGCAGAACAGCTGATGTTATGCCCATCTTATCTGCTGAAGGCAAACCACCCAGATGGACAGGAAGCCCCACTATCCCTGGGCTGTACCCCGGTTGCTGGAAGGTGAGCAGTTGTGCAGGCTGAGTTTTGGGTCAGAGCCTTGCATCCTGTTGTTTGGAGTTATGACCCTGCAAGCAGCAGTGTGTTTTCTGCCCTCAATAAAACATGTAAACAGGAAACAGTGATAATGTGGAGTCATTCAAAGGTTTCGATGGAAAGCGCTTGGTGTGTTCTATTCCTTTGGAGAAGTAAACAATGAGGGACCTCCCCAGCAGAGTTGCACCTGATAGTTGATAAAAGAAAACCCAGTTTCACTTACCTATAAAGCCTGAGTAATCTCATGCTCTCCTTATAAGGCTTTGAGAAAGGTGGAAGTGTAGCACTCAGTTTAGCAAATCTGCAGTCAGCCAGAAGTGCAAGTATCCCACGTGTGTATAACTAAAAACTGCACGGAGGCAGCTTCGCTTGCATTCCTGGCAGCAACTTTGGGTGTGTGTGGTTTCACACTATATTTTTGCTGTATTCACCCTCTGCAGAAGTATCTGTGTATCTTGTGCCAAGCTTGTAAATGTCTGCCTCAAAGCTCACCTGAATATATTTCTTAATCCTGGGTTGTATTTGTTTTGCTGTTCCCCACCCAAGTTAGAAATTCTGGATGTAGCAAGTCATTTGCATTAAATGGAAAACGACAATGGATCGCTTGCTGTGGGACTCCGCAGGGAGTTTCCCATAGGAGGCATTTGCAGATATCAATGAATTCTTAGTTAATCAGCCAGAATCCACTCTGTAATACATACGAGTAAATCTCATTTGTTGTTTCAGCAGATTATGCCACATATACTGCTAGACAGACCTACGGATGTCATTCTCTGAGGACTTTGCAGCTGTGGCTGCGTGGGCTGTCTCAGCCCAAGTCTTCCCCTTAATGCCAAGCTTCTGCTGGAACGGGGAGGTGCTCTTGCCTGCGGAGAGCAGTGAAATCTCTCTTTGCACTGTGTGTATGTGCAGCTCATGTGTTCAACACACTGACCCCTTAGCATCACTCTTTTTAAAAAGTTATTATTGTTTTAATGATAGTGTAGGAGTAGTGTAGGAGTTTTCTCCTTTTTTCCCCACACCTTCTTCTTTTACTACTCTTTTTTTAATATCATGCGAAATGGGAGAAAGTTGTACTTCCTCTTTCAAGCATTCTTGCTCAGTAAGTTAACTCTTTCTACCAGCATCTCAGCTTTTTCATGAGCTACTTATTCTGTAGTCAAAAGACAGTGCTGTTCTGGTACAAAATAGCCAGATAAAAGCTGATCTCATGCTTGCAATAATGACTTTGGGCTTTTTTTCCATATGTATGCTTTACAGCTTTATCCCCTCTGTTGCAGCAAAATCTCTTTTCCTCTTGCTCTCGTTGATATACGGACTGTCTGTGACGCTTTGCTGCTCCCCCACTGTTCAGACAGCACCAATCCATGCCATCGAAGCCACTGGCCCCTCTCCCATTCATCGCTCCGTAAAAAACTCAATGCAGCTCGGGCACGCGATGGGCTGACAGCCCACACAACGCTCTCCGCATCGGGTTGCGGAGCGGCTCGGAGATACCCGGCTCCCCAATCCCTCGAGCCCCCTCAGTCACTCTCGCTTTGCTGAGGACCCCCGCGAGGTTCCCGCCCCCGGCCGCCCGCTCTCCCGCTTACTCACCCGCGCCGCCTCATCGCTGCAGCTGGCTGAGCAGCGCTATGCCTTGCCGGATAGCCCGGGTCAGGCCATTCCGCTTTCCCCTCCTCCGCCGGGGATTTCCGCCTGCCGCGGGGCTGGGACTGGCTGAGGCCAGCCCAAGGCTCGGGGCATTGCCCTCCCCGCCGCTTCGGGGCTGGAGCTGGAGGTGGGAAGGGAGAGGGGGGAGCCCCGTCCGGGTGGAGTTGGGACAGGTTGTGCAATCTTGCCAGCCGATGGAAAGCTGTCCTGGTTGCTGGGGCTCGGCTGCCAAATGACGTTTCAAAATGACTTTCAAGAGAGATTAGGTTTATTCTTGGAAGGGTTGGACTGATGATCTTAGAGGTCTAATTAGTAAATGACCGTAAGCAATATTTGAGGTGGCACATGATCATGCTTAGAAGGTGGAAGATCTAAGTTGGCTTTGAAAGCGCTCTGATAAAGGTGTTGTAGCTGTAGATATTTGAAAGCCACGGTTCCCATTCAACACATTTGGCATCTGGCTCCATCTCAGTGCCGGTGTTTGGTGTGTTTGCTGTGAGCCTCCTTCCAGCTGGGCCACCTCTGCACCCTCCTGTCACCCCCGTGACACATGGCACAAAGCTCTGTGCTGCGAATGCATGCTTCGGTGTTGGTCACAAAAAATGATCGCTGCATTAATATTTGTTTGGTTTTGGTCTTCGAGTCGCCCTGGGAACACCAAATATTTTGTCCATGAAGACAAAGAAACTCCAGTATTAGGCAAGACTGTAGACCTAGTGATTGGTAACTGTCCATGGCAGGGGATTGGACCTAGATGATCTTTAAGGTTCATTCAAAACCAAACCATTTCTTGATTCTGTGATTCTAAATGCTATTTCCATTGCTAGCCCTGGGCAAGGAGGAGAACTAAGCTTCAGATGTATGAGCTAACACTCCTTCACCCTATCTGAACACTACTGATACACTGCATATCATTAACCTGGTTCTGGTAGAGTTGACATAAACTTATGTTGTACTTAAAGATAGACAAGAATTACAGTTGGTACAGAACATGTTGTTAGCAGTCAATTTCTGTCTTGCAGTGAAATGTGTCATAGAATCACAGAATGGTTTGGGTTAGAAGGGGTCCATTCTGTCCCAACCCCTGCTGTGAGCAGGGCTGCCCCCAACCAGCTCACGCTGCCCAGGGTGCCATCCAACATGGCCTTGAGCACCTCCAGGAATGGGGCATCCATCACTGCTGATGGGTAATCATCACTACTGGTCATTCTTGTTCTTCCTCACTAACCATGTAGGAAAAAAAAAAACACAGAGTCAGAAAAGGGTTGGAAAGGAGAGCAGAGCTTACAATAGAAGGCTGATTGCAGTTTCCTGAAAAGGTGTTGTGGGGATTCCTTGCTCTGATCGCAGGTAAAAAGCTTGTTTGCTAGCACGTGAGATAACACATCAAAGATACTGTTGTAGAAATGGAGTGAGTTCACATGCTTTGGAGTGTGAAATGCTTTTTGGACAGCTTTTCTTTTTTGCTGTTTTAATACATTAACAGTAAGAACTGCAAGAGAGCAGCCACAGCTGAAGACCAAACTCAAAGCTAAATGCAGAGGCCTTTGGGTAAGGAGCAGGAAAAGGAACGTTTGTTCCTGACCATCCAGCTGTAGATGTTGATTTTCAGGTCAACTTCTTCAGCATGCCATTTCTTACCTCTCACAGAACATGTTAGGAATGAGGAAATCCATTAGTGCTCAGCCTAGATGCCAGTGAGTAGCAGAATCTTGACTGAGATGCATGAAGCGACTCATCTCTTGTTCAAACTAAAATATTAGGATATATAGGTTCTACCAATACTAAGTTCAAGCCTCAGTCTTCCTAAAAGGTAGTAAGATTAGATTCATTTGTACAAATAAAATCTCTGTTTCTGATCATTACAGTTTTCTGGGAAGAGAGCTAATGAAATTCTAATGGTTGATGATAATGCTTAAGAGCCATCTTTGCAATAGCTAAACGGGTGAAACATTTTCAAACACAAATATGTTTATATAAGAAGTCAAGATTTAAATTTACTCTATGAACACAGGTATGAAGGTATAAATTGAGATATTTGCTCTTCAAATAAAAAAATGCATGTATTAATTTCACTGATTAGCAGTAAGGATTTTTAAAAGAAGGTTACAAAAAAAAGTACTATTTGTCATTTTGTTGATCTAAGTGTCACTTATGTATGCCTTTGCGTCAAAATTATGTTGCCAATGAACTCTGAGTTGAGGTACTCAACATTGAGTTTAGTGCTCAGTGTACCAGGGGTATGTCTGTTAATGAGGGTGGATACATACAGGACTAGGGGGAACACTTTTAAACTAAGACCTCTAAGACTAAGGGAAGATATAGGTTAGATACTAGGAGGAAGTTTTTCACTCAGAAGGTGGTGATGCACTGGAACAGGTGGCCCAAGGGGTTTGCGGATGCCCTGTCCCTGGAGGCATTCAAGGCCAGACTGGATGTGGCTCTGGACCCTGCACATAGCAGGGGGGTTGAAACTAGATGATCTTTGTGGTCCTTTTCAACCCAGGCCACTCTATGATTCTATGATATAAAAGCACATTAAGCATGAGTTTGGAAACTGATACAGCGTTCTGAACAAGCAACTAAATTGGTTTTTGTAGAAATCTGTTTTTAAAGCAAATGTTATAGGAAGCAGTATTTTTCATAATACAGTAGGAAGCAAGAATGTTTGTATTTCTATAAACACTCGCCAACACTCACTAAATGATCAATAGTAGTACCCCGAAACTATCCAGAGATTTGTCCAGACTGAAATAATTCCCATCACATAAATAAAGAATCTTGCAGATTTTGCAAATCACTCTTTGGTATGAAAATATTTATCCTTGAAGAAAAACAGTATTATCAGGAAATTTTGTCAGGCCAAAACAATGCCCACCACATGATCGAAAAAAAAAAAAAGAATTTAATGTTGTCTTCAGAATTAGGAAACATAACATTTAGAAAAAGTTTTATATCTCCTCATAGCACAGTACAGTAGGAAACCATGTAATGCAACAGGATGTGCTTTGAATGCCAAGTAGTGAGGAACAGGAACTGAAATCTCTCAGTTTTATGTTGTTTATTTATTATTTTATTGAAAATGTTACCACTACTTGGAGGCTTGATAATAACTATAGTTCCATTTTATTTTAAAAAGTTGATCTGCTTAAATGGCTCAAAATTTCCGTTGGATATCACCTGCAATAAAGTGTAGAGAGCACACAGTACAGCTTACAGCTTCTGCAAGTGTGTTTATAGGACAGTTGAGTGGTTTGGCTGAATTCCCCTAAAAGCCCAATCTTGTAGGAGATGTGGTCAGAATATTTAGACAAAATCTATAATTGGTGTCTCAGAGTGAATAGTATTGCAATTAGAGGTGCATCATTAGCTGTCTTCCAATGAGTACAGGTGGTGGATCTTCCTGGGAGTACCATCTGGTTCTGTATGTGTTGTCACGTCAGGAAATGTAGTCATGGTTGTGCAGCCCTTCCTTCCATTCACACCAGAGCAACTCTTGCCCCAGAAAACTAAAAAGAAGCAATACTGCATAGCTCATTAAATGATTATCAGTTTCTCCAACATCACTCTTTGCATTACTGTTTATAGACAGGCAATCTTTTGCAAAATTTTAATTTCAGCACTCCTGACCACTTTATTTCTTTTCATTTTATTTCTCCCCTTGCACGTGTGCCTAACTAATATTTTGATATGGTCTCCTCTTTCTTTTCCCACCCCTAGCATTGGTATGATGTAATGTATGCAAGCTCTGATGAAGCAATGCGCGCTATTGTTACTATTGCAGCTGAGATAAGAAACACAAATGATGTCTTACTTCTCTATTTTGTTTTCGACTTATTGATTGTAGCTTTATTTTTCCTGTTGAAGTCAAGAGTTCAGACGTACAAGTAAAGCATCATCTGACATATTGCTTAATAATGGAAGTTTAGAAGGAAAAAAATTGAGAGGTATTAAAAATTGGTCAAGACAATAATGTGATCTTGTCTGGACAAATTTCAGATATAGCTCTTCCAGGCTTTCACTTCTGAAGGAGAAATTTTGAAGGCCTTACTCTTTTCTACTAAAAGGAGTCATGGTCTGCCACAGCGTTGTGATACTTAAGATGTTTTCTTCTGTATAATAACACAGACGTAATCTATCTGGTGTAAAGCAGGATGTGAACCAGCATGGTGTCACCTACTGTGTGTGCACTGCCCATGCTCATGCTACTTCCCTGAAGTCTCCAGGAAAGCAGTGAGAAAGCAATGAGATCTGGCCCATGATGACACGCTGCTGGGCAATTGTCATCAAGCAGCTGGAGCACTGGAAGTTTCTATGTCAGCCTACCCCAGGGTAACTTTCCCATTTGTCCAGGCAATGAGGGGAGCAGAGGAGAGCAGTTGCTCTGTTACCTGGGGCTGCATGCTGGCCTGGGGCAGCCAAGGGATCAAGGGCATGGAATTATGCAGGGCTGCTCTTTCAAAAGCTTACAGGGCCCTTATAAGATTTCAAGGAGATGTGGCCTCTGGCTATGAGCAGTTCTGAGCCTGGGAACTCTATGCAAACTTGGTCATGAAATAATCTTTGTCATGTACTAAATTTTGTTTTCAGAGGAGACTGGGACACCACTGTTTTGGGCAATGCAGAAACATGGAATACATGCTTGCCCATTTTAAGAGTCCAAGAGCTGATACAGAAATACTTGGTTAGCCTTGCTGCACAGCCAGCACTGCAAAGCAGGCATTGATTCCTGACTCTGTGATGATCAGGGGACTCAACTCTGTACACAAGAGGGCTAGTTTCAGAGCTTCATCTTGCCCAAACATCAGTGCCTCTGGGACCTGACCCAACCACACCGAGGGCATTTCATTTCAGCCAAAAGACTCTCTGTGCTGAAAAAAACAAAAACAAAAACAAAACTCACACAGAAAAAAAACCAACACCCTCAATTTGCTTTTTAATACTCCATTCCTAAATAACAAGGAAACCAGCTAGCCTCCAGGGCTCACATATTTCCCTGCTGCCTCACTCCAGCTTTTTCAGATGCTGTCACTCTGATCCTAAAGATGATAGCAGAGACAACAGCCACTAGGAAGAATCTGGTGCATCTACCCCCATAGATATTTCACTTATCCCCTGTATTTTTTGGAATCTGTATTTGACACAGTGATTTTACAGAGGCTAAAAGTACCGTGAAAACTGCTGTTTTCATTCTTGTAAGTCACCAAAGAGCC